AAAAAAAAAAAAAAAGAAAAAAAAAAAGTACTGGTTTCAGCCACAATTCCCATCCTCTTTTCCATGAAGCAGAAGGAAAAAAAATTGAAATAGCAACTTCAAAGAAACATTAGGAAAACAAGCATAAAACCAAAACGTTTCTAATTGAAGCTGTCATAAATTGTGAGTACAGCTCTCTGGATTTTACTCTTGGAAACGCTTCCCTTTATGTAGTGTTTTTGTTTGTTTTTTAAGGCAAGAGGGAATTAGTGGGTTTGGAGACAATACAGCTTCTTTGTGGTGGTGTTACGTGATTTAGAGAAACACAAACTCTGAGATCTCTCATTCAGTCAGCCCTCACTCAGTTCAAGCAAGCCAAGGCTGCAAAAGGGCAAGCAGGCCTAGCTCACACTGCAGCCCTAACATGAGAGCAGCAGAGAATGCGTATTTTGCATAGTAACTATGCGCTGCCTCTGTGCACAATTACTAGATGCATCTTGCACAGTAACCACCACATCCATCTTGAACTCAACTTTCTGAAACCACAGTAGCAATTATATCTACATTTTCATTAGCCATATGTATTTTTCTCTGCTCCAATTTTTCACCTAGTAAATTGATGTTTCATATGTTCTATACCTTAAGTGACACCCTGAGCTTTTCCCAAAAGGATACAGTATTTGCATTTTGCTTTTATATGAAGGAAACTTTTACAGTTATAGAACATTGTCACATATTGACCATTCTTGGAATTTTTTACAGTTTCCTTATTTGTATTGATTTTTTAAAAATCTTACTTTTCTCTTTGATGATTGTGACTCAGAATTTATGAAAAACATAGTTCATTAAAATGTTCAAATTGGCAAATTTATGATCAAATAATATTCATCAATGCTATCAATAGTGCAGCCAAACAGGTAAGCTCTATGACTGGAAGCGTAAAGTAGTCCAGTCCTTCTGGAGGACGATGTGACAGTATTTTTTTCTTTGCCTTAAATATGATCATACCCTTCGTTTAGTATTACTCATGGGTTTCATCCTAAGGAAATAATAGAAAATGCAGATAATATTATTTATGTTAACAATAATAAAAATACTGCCGGGCTCGGTGGCTCAGCCTGTAATCCCGCACCTTTGGGAGGCTGAGATGAGTGGATTGCCTGAGCCCATGGGTTCGAGACCCGCCTGGGCAACTTGGTGAGACCTCATCTCTACAATAAATCAAAAATTAGCCGGGCGTGGTCGCGCGCGCCTGTAGTTCCAGCTACTTGGAAGGCTGAGGCGGAAGGATCGCTAGAGCCCAGCAGGTCGAGGCTGCAGTGGCCGGGAGCGGCCAGTGCATTCCAGTCTGGGCAACAGAGTGAGACTCCAACTCAAAAAAATAATAATAATAATAATAAAAATGAAATGGCATAATTGTCCAACAATAAGACAATAATTAAATAAATTATAGCACATGCATATGATAAATTACACAGCCATAAAAATTGTTCACAAACTTGGGTTTTGTTTTGTTTTGTTTTGAGTTGATATCTCACTCTATCACCCAGGCTGGAGTACAGTGGCTCAATCACGGCTCATTGCAGCCCCGATGTCCTGTGCTCAGGCACACCTTCCATCTCAGCCTCCCAAGTCGCTGGAACTACAGGTGTGTACCACCACACTCAGCTAATTTTTTGAATTTTTGTCGAGATGAGGCCTCACTATGTTGCCTAGGCTGGTCTTGAACTCCTAGGCTCAAGTGATCCTCCTGCCTCTGCCTCCCAGAGTCCTGGGATTACGGGCATGAGCCACTGCCCCCAGCCTGTTGACAGGATTTTTAATGACACACAAAAAAGAAGATCTAATACTTTTATCCTTATATAGGATCATCATATATATGAAATATGCATCAAAATTGGTTATCTCTAGATGACAATACTATCAGTAATTTTTCTGTTTCCTTATTGTACTTTTACAATTTATTTTTAAAACTTGACTATTAGCATTCAGTTGAAACAAGGTTTACTAGTCCTATTATTTACATAGAAATTACTATTGATTTTCAACAAGTAAAATCTCTGACAGTTTATAAATAGTAGAGTGTTTCACAATATTTTTAAAATCCAAAGACTGAAGTCCCACACAGATTAAATTGTAGAAAAACAAGAACTTTAACATATGTCAAATCCGCTCTAATTAACTCCCAGCACCCAGAAGAGTACCTGGAAAGCAGTAGTAAATCACTAGTTTGGTGTTTATTAAAAGTGACCTAGAATGGATCATTTAACAAGGAAACTGAAAATAAGAACTTCACTTTTTTCTTGTACAAGAGGAAATCCTCTGCCTGCCTCTTATATTTCTGTACTAAATGACACTGCAGAGACCAAAAGTTCAAACAAATTTGTATCTGAAAATATCTGTACTGGACAAAAAGGTGAATACCATGATGTCTAAAACTATGTGCATGGGTATTAGACCTGCCCTAAGGAGAATAACTAAGCAAGGACACATGTGTGCAGAATTGCTGGGAAAAAACAAACAAACAAACTTACAGATTTTCCTAAAACCCTCAGTCCCCACCCAGGTGCAACCTTCATAAGGGCTGTGGATTGTTTTGAAGAGGTAAGGCTGGCCTGAAGAAAAGGTGGACTGACAGCTTGTGATTTGAGGACCTCTGAGCAAACAGTTCAATTAATGATCATGTTAGATCTCTATAAATACTGCCATTTTATACTTCTTTGAAAGCGCCTTATCCTAAAATATTTCTCCACCTATCACTATAGAGAAAAACCCATTTATGTCTTTAAGTCTTGAAGTTACAGTTAAGCTGTAGACACGCAGAAGGCTGAGGTAGGCGCTACCATGCCTCCCATAATGTCTAAGAGCCCTGAACCTGGAAGAAGGATTGCAGAAGAGAAGTGAGTCTGTGACGACACATACACATTGTGCCTACCTCAGTTTTCAATGCCAACCTTAAAGATAGACCCTTGTGGAACAGTCTGAAATAATCTGAAAGAAGTGAGACTGTCCCGTACTTGGAGAATCAGACGCCGTATGTTATTACTGTTAATACATATTCAATTCTTTTTTTTTTTTTTTTGAGTCGGAGTCTCACCCTGTCGCCCAGATTGGAGTGCAGTGGCCGCTCCCGGCCACTGCAGCCTTGAGCTGCTGGGCTCCGGCGATCCTTCCGCCTCAGGCTTCCAAGTAGCTGGAACTCATATTCAATTCTTAAACTGAAAAGAAACACAATGAATTATACTGGCAAAGAAGTTATTTCTCCAAATAATAAATTGTTTGTTATTTTGAAAAAATAATTAACCGTTTGAAAGAGCTAAATACTATCTCAGAGGCAATGTTTTGCCATCTGTGTCTGCCATGAGATGGTACTTTTCCAAACATTCTATATTGAAAGAAACCAGGATTTGGCAACAAGAATTTTAGCTAGTTTTCTTTGTGCATTTCTTAAGCTACTCAGGAACACCATATTTAGCAACATCAGATACTTTATTATTGTGGTATTAAAGAATGGGAAGAATTCATAATTTTCACACTAATCATTTTTTAAAAGACCACATTGAAAAACATACAGTATAAATAAATATAGTATACAGACAATTTAACTTCACAACATAGAGGAGGAAATTTTATTAGGTAAAAGTAATGGATTAAAAAAAGTAACAAACTCAGTAATTCCATTTTATATTATATACAGAGAATAGTCATATTATACAATGCATTTATAATTATTGTAATTCATTACATTTATCATTCGTACAGTCAAAATTTAAGCCATTTTTCTTTCTTAAATTTAATGCTACCAATCAATCAAAAATTATTTGTTGAGTCATTACTATATTGATCTGGCACCTTTCATCGTTATTGGTAGTAGTCTTTTCTGTTTCCTACTTACTTGTGCATGTCTGCAGTTCTATATGCTTTCTCATATTCTCAAAAGAGATTAACTCAAGTGTTCTTTAGACTCTAATATTTCCCTAGGCTTATTCGTTTTCTCTTAAAGCAGCTGAATTCACAAGTATTTAAACTCTTTAGTGGATTTCCTCTTCTCCCTTCTCTCCCATCCCCCCAATCCACATTGTAATTAACTCTGACTTTCAGTTAGTCTAGTTATTAGAATGAATATTCAGGTTATCATCCTCCTTTATAGACAGGGTTTTTAAATGGCATAACTTCTGCATATACTATTAAGTATACTCTAAGAACTGAAATTTAACTACTTCTGAATGTAATTCATTGTACCTTTTAAATATAAAGTACTCTAAGATCTCTTTGTGCAACTTCTTATTAAAGCATTTGAAGAAATTCTCATAAAAATAAATATGTAAGCATTTCTGAAAATATATGACATCTTGATATTGGACAAGAAACAAAATGATAATAATAAGGAACTGGGTACATAATTAACCAGAAGTAAATATACAAGTATATTCACAGTAACACATAATTTGGCTATAAGACTCATATGGTAATAAATGTGTGTATGTACATATGTTTATAAAACAAAGCATTTGTAGCCAGGTTAAAATCTCACCAAATATTTAACTTCTCCATGAAAGGTTTTTAAAAACAAACCATGGTTTCATTCAAAACTTAGTTAAATGTTATCTAGAAATTGGAAAGCTGAGAAGCATGGCATTATACATTACTACTGAGAATAAATGTTTAACAGAAATTAATTCTGCTGTATTAGGTTATATTGCTAAGTTCCAAAGAAAACAATGCACGTATGGTTTGTGAAAAGCTGCCACTATTGAAGCAATACCAGTTCTGTTTTTCCTTCATGTTAACGGATTTAAGAGAGCTTCATTAATATTAATAATCAAATACGAGACTGAAATACACAGTAGAGAAGGAAGAAGGGCAAGTGTTATATTACAGTCAGTAATGACTAGACTATCTTAAAATGTTGACCTTAAAATTTTTTTCTTTGTACCCATTTATTCTTACACTCTAAACTACACATTTTTGGATGTAACTTTTTAAATTGCCTAACTACATTTCATAATATATGAGCTATATGTCTAGTTATTTTAAGTTTAGAATTATATATGTTTATACAGATTTGTGATTATCTCTTTATAAATATATCTATAGTAGCCTAGCAAGCCCTGTTATTTTAGAAAGGATTTTTGAAGATAATTAGCATATCAAGTTTCATTTTAGTGTAGCTTTAACCACTGATGTCATATGAATTTTCTAGTTACTTTTTCTGTAGTAATTTTCCACAAATATTAGGAGAGTCACCATGAATCAGTTTTGTTATGACAAAGTGATTCCAAAGTGATCTTTATTGAGTTTTCTTGAATCTTTGCAACTGGAACTTTTGGGGTTGATGACGTTTGTCAGGAAGACAGAAAGATGGTGCCACTTCAGATCTGCTATTCCTGGGTCTGCACTTAAAGATTATCTGTTGAAGATTGATTCTTCCCCATGTCCTCGCCAATTCAGATCTCACTTCTCCACAGGTTTAGAAGGCCCTATTTCACCACTGCCACACAAAAAAGACAAAACTCAAGAAAAATAATATCAAGTTGACTGCTCTACAAGATACAGCACAATTCTTAGGTCAGAATTTCTTGGCTTTTGGCACTTGGTCAGCACACTGTTAGCAGATGGGGAACACAAGCATAGCTCCTAGAACTGAAACTTAATTACTTCTGAATGTAACTCATTGTACCTTTCAAATATAAATTCTCTTATTACTGATATAATTCTTCAGCTGTGGGGGAAGCTAGAATCTGTAGGATACATAAATATGTAACATAAAAAAAGACAGGAGTCAGAAAGGTAGAGGAATGTAGGGAGGAAGAAAGCATGTAAAGTTAAGAAGTTTTTCTTCGAATAAAATAATTTACAATGTACTTTAACTTGTTAATGGCAAGTCTCTGAAACAAATCTACCAAATTTTAAAGTTCATGTTCTTTTTCCATCTTCGGCCACTCTGCACATGAAAATGAGGTACACACACACACACACACACACACACACACACACACACATGAAGACAAGGGGTTTTCCTTCAAATTCCTAGGTTAATAGCCCTTCTAACCTGTCCCAGTGATTCTGGGTAGAATTATATATTTTTTGCAAAAATGCTTTGCCCTAATAGTAATGATCCTTAATTTTTAAATTTTTTTTAATTTAAAAAAATAAAATAAATAGTCTCTTAAAATGTTTTCCCCACAAAAGAGAATATAAACATTTGAAAGAAAAGATGGCTTTCATAATCTGGATGCTTAGAATTAATGTTTCTATCATCTAAAAATGAGCTCTGCTGACTCTTAGCAATTGATGGAAGTAGAATAAAAACAACATAGTAACTTTCTAAGTAAATGGGAGCTTTATAGGCTGTATACTTAACTCTATTCCTTTCTCAAATAGATTAGCACAGAGAACTGTGTAAATTTTCTCATAAAAAGTTATTAATATTCCTGACTCTGAAATGCAATCATGTCTTTTAAATTTTTGTCATCCTTTGACCTAGACTTTCCTGTGATTTCTTGCTGAGCACAAGGGTGATAGGTATAGGTACATTGATTGATACATTCAATTCAGAGCCAAGTATTTAATTGTAATCTTCATACCTTTTTTTTTTTTTTTGGTCAGCAAATGAGTAATGAGAAATAATGGCTTTCTGCTCCCTAGTTATCTGTGGTGGATTTTGATAGAAAGGATGTACAATTCTGACACTACTGATTGACCTCAATAATTTGGTTCTCCTGAATATAGTAAGAGAACTTAAATAGGATTTAAGCTTCTCAATGCTAAATTCAGTTATATATGTAAATATGTGCATATAGATGTTAAGTGATATTAAGTTGGTTCAAAGTTAGCTTGCCTTTATAAACCATTATTGTCATTTAGTTTATATATACTGCTTAGATTGTTAGATAGACCGTGTCCTTGGAATCTTCACTACCTCATTCCTGTTCTCTTTGAAAAGTAACGTTTGGCAGATGGTAGCCAGATCATTAAAGTATTAGGTTTACCACAGTAGTACCTAAATCAGGTGGTAGATACAAAGTTAAAATAGTATTACCTTCAGGGGAATTGTTTCCCTTAAATTATTAAATAACTGCGTTTTTTTTTAAGTTTGCTGCTATGTTGGGGGGTTATGTGTGTGTGTGTGTGTATAAATATATATATAATATATATATATTATATATATATTGGTAAGACTGTTTACCCTAGAGAATATTTTGGGAACCTGAATTATAAGTGGCTAAAATAAGCAACTTTTGTTTTTAAGCAAACTTAGATTGTTCTAGAAATCTTAACCAAATCAATCACAAGATGACAATTACAGGCTTCTTTTGTTAGCCAACTGAAGAATTTTTTTTAAACATGTTTATTATATGAATCTTTAAGCCCATGTTTGGCTCTTTTCTTGGCTATTTTTAAAAGGTACAGGATATGTATGTAATATAACTTCTTATCCATATTATCTGTTAAGGCGAAAAGAAGCAACTGGTTATTGTTATCCTTTTTCTTGGGAACATTTATTTTCAAATGAATTGATTCCTTCAAGTCATCAGTCTCATAATCAGTAAAAGGAAATGAAGATTGGTGGGAGAGATTAAAACATAAAGGATAGGAATAGGGGAAATAAAGGTCGGAAAAGTCACAGACATAAGAATGTGGAAGTTGAATTTAAATTAATTTTTTTTTTTTTAGTTGGAGTCTCACTCTGTTGCCCAGGCTGGAGTACAGTGGCACAATCATGGCCACCACAGCCTCGACCTGCTGGGCTCAGGAGATCCTTCCACCTCAGTCTTTCAAGTAACTGGAACTGGGCCTGCGTCACCAGGCCCAGCTAATTTTTCCTTACTTATTGTAGAGATGAGGTCTCACCAAGTTGCCCAGGCTGGTCTCGAACCCTGGATTCAGGGAATCCTCTCGCCTCTGCCTCCCAAAGTGCTGGGATTACAGGTGTGAGCCACCACACCTGGCTCAAATTAATTTTTAATTGAGCACCTACTATGGGCCCCCCAAAATGGCTGATAATACCACTAAATGTTTTAAATGAAAGAAAATCAAAACATATTGCAGCACTTAGTACTTATTTCCACAACATCATTCTGAATGAACCATTTAAATAAAAAGTTTTGTTTTCCACTCACATGCTTTCACATTACTCAACATGGGTACCCACAATGACCAGCCGCCTTACCAGCACAGCAGACGACAGATGAACAAGGAGCACATTCTCACAGGAGCTTTTTATCACACGTGTTCCTAGGCTGAAAATTCCCTTCTCTGTACTTCTTGATAGATGGAGTATGTAGGTTAGTGGTTAAGTACAAGAATGTAGAAGTCAGAGATCTAGATTCAAATTTCAGCTCTAATAAATAGTTTCTGTATGATTTAGGAAAAAATAATCCCTCTGAACCTCAGTCCACCATCTGGAAAATTAGTATGATACTTACCACATAAGACTGTGAGGGTTAATTACACTTATGTATGTAGAGCACTTAGCAGAGTATAGAGAGTGCTAAATAAATGGATGCTGGCATTATTAAGTGGATGGCTGAATCATAGGTTTCTAAATATGGGTGCAACTTCAAGTTCCTAATACCAAATATAACTCTATTTGCTTCTGTTCCTCGGCATGCGTGCTATCATCCCCAGTTGACTGCACTTTAGGCATCAAGGGTACAGGAGGAATTCTACAAGGATATGTTCCCCTAGAACTTTTTGGTACCTGCAATCCTAGTTGTTGAAACGTGGAGAGCGCTGGCATTTATTCCTGAAAAACATTTGTTACAAAAGGATTTGGGGTGGGTGAGGAAAGTTGAGGCACTGATCAAAATAGATTAATGGCAAAAAGAAAAAAGAAAGAAAAATGAACAAGACTTTAAATTTTAATTTAGGATTAAAACTCAGTTAAAATTAGGTATACCAGATTTCTTTATTCTTAACTATGTATGCACATACACATTCAGGTTTTTTTAGTACTGATTTGCCTTTTCGTTAACAGTGACACATTTTATGCCTAGTTTAAATATTACAACTGTTACACTGGTTTGGAGGAGGATTTTCCAGAGAGTTGTTAAATATAGAAATTTCTTAACTACTGATATGGAGGAATGGGTATTGTTTAACCAATGAGAATGTTGCCAGCTACCACGTCTTTCTACTTTTTTAGAATAGGTATCTCAATTATTTACTGAGGCATATTCCTGGTTCATAAAATTAACTCCATTAGGCATTCTATAATTATAATCAAATTATTTTAATCCCTACTCATATCACCTATAATTTTCAAATCTGTTTATTGATTGGTATTGTTTTTATGTCCTGTTCATATTTTTTAACTACAGTAAAATGTAGTTTTTCATTATCTATTATGTTTCCTTTTAATTAGTGTTCTGACTATCCTATCAAACTGTCCTTATTCTAATTATTTTATTTTTATAACTAGCCCCTCTGAAATCCTTTCTTCTAATTGGATTGTCTGTACTCAAACTGTAATTACTTTACACATTAAACATTTGCCATATATCATTTTACTCATGTGGGTCATTTCTGTATTTTTGGTTTTTTTTTTTTTTTTTAGCGAGGGGGAGGTGAGTCTCACTTGGTTGTCCAAGCTGGAGTACAATAGCACAATCATAGCTCACTGCAGCCTGAAACTCAAGTTCAAGCGATCCTCTTGCCTCAGCCTCCCTGGTAGCCGGGACTATAGGTGCAAACTACTGTGCCTGGCCTCTCTGAATATTTTTACTTTAAAAACATAGGAGAGATTAAAACAAATTTTTGGGTCGTAATAAATATACTGCTGCCTTTGTTGTGCTTTGTTAACCTCTGAGATTTTTAGTCCTATTTTCCCAACGAATTATAGAACATCCAAGTTGCACTGTATTGTAACTGAGCCTGCTAACCATTTCTCCAGGTTTTCTTGCTGTTTAGAACAAATGGGCCTTTACGCAAAAGGGGTTCATTGTATTTGCGAGACAGGAAGAGAACTTGATTCTGTTATGTCCATCGAGACTTTCCTTTCATTTTTAGATTTGGAGTCCAAATGCCTAAATTAGAAAGGCAGGTGAGCCAGCAGCATCTAGTTGTGATTCCTGCACAGCCCGGGGAAGGGGCAAGAGGTCAAGGGAGTCCAGCTCCAGAGCTCTACACTGGTGAGGAGACTACGTTGGCGTTGGCGAGAGGTGTGGGATAGTTTTCATTCTCCCTAATTTTAAAGGGCAAGTAGCCTTCCGGTGAACTTTTTGCCTTGATAAGGAAAATCACACATTCCACTTAGAAGCCTGTGCTGGCGCATAACTAGTTCCAAAGCAAAAAGCTGTGTCCTGTGTAATATGAAACTCAGAAAAAACATTCTGAGGGTGGCTTTCTAAAACTATAAACATCTCATGTAACGTCAGAGATCTTGTTTAACGTTTACACATTTGCTTGCTAATTGCTGGCTGATTGTACTTGTCAAAACACCTCAAATCCTCTTCCTCATGAAATAGATCATCCTTTCTTCAGTGGGATGGTAAGATTTAGAGAAAGTCCTGTTCTTGAATGACGGAAAAGCTACTGAGACAGAAGTTTTGATGAGGGTCATGGAAAAAAGTGATCCTAAAGGAAATTATGTCCACTAAGACACTGGTTCATCTTATCTCTTTATACTACTCTCTGATGGTCTCTGGGTTAGAGAACTTTTATCAGGTTCCTATAGTAAGTTATATACCATATTTCATTTTAAGTTGCATTTCAGATTTAATTACTTGATAAACTTTTGTATTCGAGACCAAGATGAATCACTTTTCCTGCTTTTGCTGCTAACTATGCAGCTTTTTAAACATTTCCTAACTTATCATTTTTTGTGTGTGTATCCCCCCGCCCCCATTACTTTAATTCTGCACTGGCTCCGGTGCTACTTCTATCCTCACTCAACACTTCATCACACCCATAGAGCTCTGAGCTCACACTGTGTTCTAGTGCTTTCAGATGAAGCTTTACTAGCCTAGATGTTTCTCCGTTCTCTTTATGCAAATTATATACAAAAGTATGATTTTCATATCTTAAAACTATGATGTGACCAAAAAGAGCAATGCTATTAAATTACTGTTCATAATCACAAAATTATATTTTTAAATATGGGAGTTAATTAAAAGCTCTTTCATTAGGAAAAGGATATTACACTGCAAGTAATTAACATTTAAAGGCATTCTATTCAAGAGATGTGTTTATTGGTGGGTCAGTTTTGTCAGTGTTTTAATTCACATGTAATTGATGTAGATCCTATGTCAGCAGCAACTACCAGTCATACTACTTTAACTGAAAACTAACAAACTGTTTCCATGTATATGCTCTGAGATTGTTTTATAACCCTCAAGTTTTGTATTCCTTTACAGAAAATATAAACATGGTGATAAGCTGCAATTTGCCACAACACATTTTCTCCAAATCTTAGATAGTATAAAACACAAGACATTTTTTGTGCACTCTGCTTTTATAGAACAACCAGATTTATCATTGATTTCTTTATTTTATTAGATTTATCAATATACATGGTAGCTTTCTCAAATCTCAAGGTTCCAAAAGTATGTAATTTTAAAGGTGAAAAATCATTTTCCTTTAGATGTCTTATGTCTAGAGAACTATTAAAGTCTATTTATAAACAAAAATAACTGATAAACTAACACACTTTAGAAATCAGAATATTTTAAATTAAAATATTTTAATGAATACAAGATATATATCTTTTTAATTAACTATCATAGTTAAATTTAATATCACAAAACAAAATGGCTTATGCCCACTAATTTTTCAAGTGGGGTAAAGCCATTGGGATTTACACTTAATATAAGTTTTAAATGTGATTATTAAATGATAATATTTTATCAATTATAGGAAATATTCATTTATAAGAATTTCCTCAAGTCTGTCAATCTTTTTAGGCCAAGTTTGAGCCCATGTCAACCTTAAAGGTTAGATTCAGCGCACCTAACTTGCCTAATAATTTTGTCAATTTAAGACGATGGATTTCATTAATAAGGGGAAAAAAACAATAGCAAACTCACTGTTCAAAAAAAATAATAATAACTAAAAGTGAATGAGATAGTTCCAAATAATTAAAGAATTCTAAAAATATGGAATTGGAATGGCCAATGGTGTTGGGTTTTAAAGTTCACAGGATAACCTTAAAAAAAAAAACCACATAGAAATAGTGAAGTCATCACCTTATTGATAAAAAACTAAAGTTTAATAGTCACTGAAGGGGTAACAACCACTTGTAGTCTACATTTAAAAGTAATTTTAATCAGAGCTAAGAAAAACTAAAAACAAAGAATTCTATTAAGAAACAACAAAAATGATAAACATTTAATGCCTAAAATGTAGATACTTAAAGATCCTAAACAAAAATATTAAAGGTAAAAGGGCCTTGAGATTTTTTCCAACAATTTATCTTATAAAATCAATTCCTAAATAGCTCATTTCCTTTGCTTTGGTGTTTTATCTGCTATCAACTAAACATTAGCACAGTAGAAAATCACTTAGGTTCTTTTCAAATGCTTGGCATTATAATGTGATCTCATATCTTTCCTCAAATTAAATTTTGCTCCACATATTCCACAAGTATACAGATGAACATCCATGTGCTGCTCCAACTGTTCATTATTTGGGAATATCTGAAAGCAGACCTGGCATATAGTCTCACCAGCAGATAAATGAGAAATCATATGCCGTACATGGTCATGTTTTCTGAAGTTTCCTTGATCACAAATGGAACAGACATACCTGGCCATGCCTTTGTGCATATCATTGTGCAGTCGCAACTGACGTTCTCTTAAAAACTGCTTTCCACATGTTTGACAAACAAACTGTTTTTCCTTAGTATGAACAGTATAGTGTTCTCTTAAGTGACACCGCTGATAAAATCCTTTTCCACACAGATTACAAAAATGCTTTCGTCTGTGATCTCTTTCATTTTCTTCCATGATGGCACTCTTAAACATCTCTTGATCTAGGCAGCTAGACATATGCTCAACCACTAGATTTTCAGTTTCAAAACGCTGGCCACAATTAGGACATCTAAAAGGACAGGCAGAATGTTTAAATAACTGCTTTTTTTGGGATACTGTTTATCGGGTAATGATTGTCCCTGAAATCATCCAACATTTCAACGAACATATCTCTTATTTCAGACTGCTCATCAGGATTCTCTTCCATGTCCATTTTCTCCTCGGTGTTTCCTAACCCATTCATGGTCAGATCTTGGGGCTCCCCACACCTCTGGGCATGTTCCTGCAACTGCCTGCCCTTCACAAGTATCTGTCCACATTTACCACATGCACAGATGTTTTCAATGTGTTTAGCTAAGTAATGCGATGACAGGTCCTCCTCAGTGATCGTGAGCCCACACAGCTCGCAAGATGCATTTTCAGTATCCTCTTGTACTGGGCTGCTGTTGTCAGGGGGCCTCATATTTTCTAAGCCACCCCTTTCATCAGCAGTTATTGACATCCGAGGTTTTAGAGTTTTCCTACCACTTTTTTTAATGCTGACATCCTCTTCAACATAGTATCTATAAAATGGCTCTTCGGGTTCATCTTCCAGTTCATCATTGTCAGTGGACTCATTACAGTCTTTTTCAGCAACTTTAATAATGTTAAAGTCCTTCAATTCATCTGTAGGGATGTCTTCTGGCTCCATCTTGATGATGATCCTTTTCCTCTCAGCTGCTCTGCTTTTCTCTTCACCGGCCATTTCTGACTCCACTGTGCTACTTTTTCTGCTTCCAGTTGTTGAAGTTGAATCATCAGCAGTCTGGCTTGTGTCTCCTCTGTATTTGTCTGTCTGTGCAGAAAATGCTTTTGAAGAATCTTTTTCACCAAATTCAGCTTTGATGTTGCTGTCTTTTCCATCTCTAACATCTACGATTCTGTGGTAAGATCTCGTGTTTTGGTATGAATGTCTGTTTGTACAGGTTAGCACATGCTCATCTAGTAACTTTTCACAGCTAAAGCCAAATCCACAGCTGTCACAGGTAAAACTCCGTCCAAAGCGTCGCGACACACGTTCTTTTGGAGTAGATAATTTGGACACAGAACTTTTTTTACATACATCAAACAGTGGTTCAGGAAAATTACCTAATTGTAAAGACTCTTCATCAGGCTCTCTATTATGTGGTGTGTTCACTGTTGAACTTGGCTCTGCACACCACCTGTTGGCTTCACTGCCATTTCTAGCCACAGTATCTTCATACATTCTTACCCCAAATATCATTTTGCTGTTCTGTTTGCTAGAAGCAGAAGAGGAACATTTTGAACTTGAACAATCTGCGTCCTGTATGTCTTCTAAGCAGTCAGGAACATTGTACAGCTGTAAGTAGTTCATTGCCACTTTAAACTGCTCAAAACTGGAGGGAGCTGTCATAATTTTTCCTAAATACATAAATTGCAAAATGAGATCAAAACACTCTGCGCTGATTTTCATGTTGCTGAGATTCAGTTGTGCAGTACTGTGCTGATGGTTCATGAAAAACATTCTAAAATAGGAGCTACAGGCAGCTAGAACGGCTTTGTGTGCTTGAAAGTAAATGTCATCGATTGCAATACAACAGTCACAGAGAAAACCCCATTCTCTTTGGTTATTTAGCTGCTGAAGGACATAGCTGCTGTGGCTGGGCTTTGCCATCTTCTATTAATTAGAGACCTATGTAAGACAAGAAATTAAAGTCAGACAAGATATCAGAAAAGCACTTGAGAAAAAACTAATTTTTATTATGGCTTGTGAACAAGTGTGGCTGCTATTACAATCAAGATATGAATAGCTTTCCATTCTACTGCAGCAAAACTCAATGTATATTCAAACTATCTTTTAAATTTGAAGATGAAGATGCCCAGTCATCTATTCACAATGTTCATATTAAACAAAGGCATCAAAAGCAAAAGCCATAATTTTTATTTCATTACAACTCTGGGGGGGGGGGAAATGTACACTAATTTGAAAGGGAAAAAAGACATTAATTAAAAATAATTAAAGAATACAATGAAAGTAAATAAAACAGCAACTTAAACTGAAAGTGAACAACTAGATTGTAAAGTATTATAGTGGCTCACACCTATAATTTCAGCACTTTGGGAGGCTGAGCTGAGAAGACTGCCTGAGCTCATGGGTTCAAGACCAGCCTGGGCCACTTAGCAAGACCTCATCCCTAAAACAGATCGAGAAAAATTAGCCAGGAACAGTGGCTTATCCCTGTAGTTCCAGCTACCTAGAAGGCTGAAGTGGAAGGATCTGAGCCCAGCAGGTTGAGGCTGTGCTGGCCGTGAGCATGCCACTGCACTCCAGCCTGGGCAACAGAGTGAGACTCTGACTCAAAAAAAAAAAAAAAAAAGAGTCATTATCAGGTCAGGTGCAGTAGCTCAAGCCTGGAATCCCAACACTTTGGGAGTCCGAAGCGAGAGGATTGCCTGAGCCCAGGGGTTTGAAGCCAGCCTGGGCAACTTGGTGAGACCTCCTCTCTACAATAAAAAAAATTAGCTGCATGTGGTGGCACATGCCTGTAGCTCCAGCAACTTGGAAGGCTGAAGCAGAAGGATCACCTGAGCCCAGCAGGTCGAGGTTGCGGTGGCTGTGAGTATACCACTGCACTCCAGCCTGGGCGACAGAGTGATACTCTGACTCAAAAATAAATAAATAAATAAAAAGAGTCATTACCTTTTGGATACACATACTGAATTATTTACAGGTGAAATGATATACCTGAAATATGCTTCAAAATAAATGAGTATGTCGGATCTATAGATGATACAAAATGATACAAAATTGGCCATATGTTAATACTGTTAAAGCTAGGAATAAGTATAATTCTGTTCTTCTATGTGTTTGAAATTTTCTATTAAAAAATGGTTTAAACAACCTTATTAGATTATATAGAAATATCGCCAAACAAATAAGTTTGATCAATGCCTTTCTCTTTCCATGGATTACTGGAGAAGCAATAATGCTGTAGAGTTAGAATATGTCTCACATCATTTGTCATGCACTTTAGGGCATAAAGAAGCAGTGGGTTTATTTAGAAACACCCTCAGTATGAATTTTTCTTCCATTTCCTTAACTGTTAAAAAAATATACAAAAGTAACACATGCTCAGTGCAAAAAATTCAAATATAGACATATACAGCCAACCTAGGCAACATAGCGAGACCTCATCTCCTCAAAAAATTAAAAACAATTAGCTGGGCGTGGTGGTGCATGCCTATAGTCCCATTTACTTGGGAGGCTGAGGCAGAAGGATCCTCTGTGCTCAGAAGTTAGAAGCTAGCTACAGCGAGCCGCGATCATGCCACTTTACTCCAGCCCAAGTGACAGAGTAAATCCCCGACACAAAAAATTAAAGAGTATAAAATAAAAATACACCTCAAGTCATATACCTCTTCTCAGAGGTAGCCCCGCCAAACACTCTGGATTATATACCTTCATATATATACCATCTGTCTATGCACATACGTACACTGTCAGCATAGAGTTCCTACTATGTGCCAGCACATAATTTTGCTTTTGTTGTTTTTTTAACCTAAATGGGGGTGTGTGTGTGTGTGTGTGTGTGTGTGTGTGTGTGTGTGTGTATCTTTCAACAACTAGTTTTCTTCATTTAACATCTGTAGACATTACAAGGATTTTTAATGTAGGGAATTGACTTTGGCTACAGAAGAAGAGGAAAATATTAAAAGTACTATTAGTCCTAGTTATTATAAGCTAAATAAGATCTAATTTTAGCCTCAATTTTTAATCTGCATATATAATGCTTCAGAATCTATCTTCTATTTAAAAGCAAGTTCCTACGCAATTGGCCTGAACTTAAAAAGAACATTTAACAAGCTGTTCAGAGAAATAAAATGTTCACTCTTTGGTCCAAAAACGTAAGGCCTGTAGCAGTAACAAAGAGTATCTAAGTTTACTTACTTCTACTTGCTTTTTATCTGCTGTACACAGATCAAATATGGATCACATCCCTTTTTTCTCCCAACACCTACAGGCCCATTTTGCTCCAAGACACAGTTCCCTAGCCAGAGATGTGGGGCTGGTGACAGGAGGGTGGCGCATGATGAGACCTGCTGTTCTTAACATTGTATCCTGTGCCTTTTCTAGAAACCAGATCAGGTTTCAAGTAGGTACGACATTTCAAACCTCTGTAACTCAGATATCTGTACAAAACTGTGAGGAATCCCGTTCAGCATGTACCTAAACACAAAAAAGCAATGTATGCACAAAGACAGTCCCCAGTGTGTTACTTATAATTTCAATGCCTGGGAAAAAGGGAGTTGTTAAGTAAACTAAGGTAAATCTCCCTAAAATTCACTGTCCTGTGGCCTTTAAAAATTATATTTGGACAGGGGTGGTGGCTCACACCTATAATCCCAGCACTTTGGTGGCGCGTGCCTGTGGTTCCAGCTGCTTGGAAGGCTAAGACAGAAAGATCGCCTGAGCCCAGCAGGTCAAGGCTGCAGTGGCCATGAGCATGCCACTGCACTCTAGTCTGGCCAATGGAGTGAGACTCCGACTAAAAAAAACAAAAAAAAAACCAAAAGAAATTAATAGTGGCATTGTCCTGGTAGTGATGCTTATATAAGCATCAGTAGGTAAGTTTGACTAGGTAACCTTAAAAATGTTATTTCTTTCCAAATAACAGTCCATTAGAAAGCCAGCAGTTAATCTATACAAACTTTCAAGTATTAAATAGTCCATGCTTGAAATAATGACATAAAGAACTTAAAGTTCCAAGGACCCTTTCTTATCTATAGGAAAAGTAGTTTTATGGCCAGCAACCAAATTAATACAACTACTGGACAGTTAGGGTGGCACATGCCTATAAAAATCCCAGCACCTTGGGAGGCCGAGGCAGGAAGACTGCTTGAACCCAGGAGTTTAAGACCAGACTAGACAATATAGCAAGACCTTGTCTCTACAAAAAAAATTTAAAAATTAACTGGGCGTTGTGGCGCGGGCCTGTAGACTCAGCTATACAGAAGGCTGAGACAGAAGGATCACCTGAGCCTCCGAGGTCGAGGCTGCAGTGAGCTGTCATAATGCCACTGCACTCCAGCTTGGGAACTGAATAAGAACCTATTTAAAAAAATGACAAACAAAAAGCAAAACAAACAACCCCCCCAAAAAAACAACAGCCAAACTACATAAAAAACCAGCATAATAGGCACATCTGTAGCTATAGTCACAATTCAATGAAATGAGTAAAAATACATACACTCTTGTGTAAATATAAACAAAACACTAAAACAAATAAGAGCACTTGTAGCATTTTAATGAACATTTATCCATCCAACAAATACTTTTTGAGGACCCTTGGTGTACCATGTACTGCATAATACTGAGAATCAGCAAAAGCACAGGTGTTCTGTAATCTCAAGGACATATCATTAAGAATTCCTGCTTCTCCTAAATTAGTGATTTCATTCAACATGTACTCAGGAAAGTGCCCACTCGACAGAAGAAGGCAAGGCTTCATGCTGTGGTGGAGAATAAGCTCAGGGCCAGACAAACCAGGGCATGGATCCCCTGGCTCCAAGCAGAACTCCTGTTGTCCCCCAGAGAGCTGGAAGCAGAACAAGTGCTGGGTCTGGGGTTTAATCCTTACACGATGGCCTCTAGGCTGACCTCGAAGTGTAATTTAAGCAACATTACTACGCAAACATCCAAGTTCTGAGTAAAACTGATTTTAGGCAGAGTATCTTTTAAGAATCATTTACACAGAATATTAGCCACCTTGTTCTTGTTACACCTCTTTCAGAAAAGCAAGCTCAATAAACCAAACAAAGTGATGCAGGGTATAGGCCGGGGAGGGGATCTAAATTCCTGTGACACTTTTAGCTTATTATCTCTTGAAGATAATTTTTACCTTAAAAATTTGTAGAATGAGCCAGTCGCAGTGGCTCAAGCCTGTAATCCCAACACTTTGGGAGGCCAAAGTGGGGGACTGCCTGTGCCCACAGGTTCAAGAACAGCCTGGGCAACTTGGTGAGACCTCGTCTCTTCAACAAATCAAAAGGTTAGCCTGGCGTGGTAGTGCACACCTGTAGTTCCAGCTACTTGGAAGGCTGAGGTGGAAGGATCGCCTGAGCCAGCAGGTCGACACTGGGGTGGCTGTGAGCGTGTCACTGCACTCCAACCTGGGCGTTGAAATGGGACTCCTGCCAGGCTCGGTGGCTCAGCCTGTAATCCCGCGCCTTGGGAGGCTGAGGTGAGTTAATTGCCTGAGCCCGCGGGTTCGAGATCCGCCTGGGCAACTTGGCGAGCCCTCATCTCTACAATAAATCAAAAATAAGCTGGACGTGGTAGCGCGTGCCTGTAGTTCTGGTTGCTCGGAAGGCTGAGGCGGAAGGATCGCTGGAGCCCAGCAGGTCGAGGCTGCGGTGGCCGGGAGCGGCTGCTGCACTCCAGTCTGGGTGACAGAGTGAGACTCCAACTTAAAAAAAAAAAAAAAGAAAGAAATGGGACTCCTACTCAAAAAAAAAATGTAGGATGTATTCACTTTTATTAATTAAATAATGACTCAAATTCCAAAAGTTTATTCTTTCCATCAGTGAACTGTATGTTATAGTAAAGCTTGTAAAAACATTTTAAATAAAATGTTTACATTTTACATTTATAATAAAATGTTTATATTTCAGCTGTTCCTGTTTTTA